GGAGCAAACCTTTAAGTTGCATCATTAACCCACACACTTGTTGTCTTTACAAAAGTGAACATGAATGTTCAATCTTGTTTGTGTTCAGATCCTGTTGCAAAGAGACTTTAAGTTTTGTTGTAATAGTTTGCAAATGGCTCCAGTTTCACATTACTTATCCACACTGTGGTTGCAGCAGCACTTACTGAAGGTGAAGATGAAAACCATCTGTCGAAATGTAGATGTTTCATTAATTCTTTAAATAATGCTGCTGTGTCTACATTGAGATCTAGATGACTCCAAAAAGGTTATGTCTGAAATTGTAATTTGTATTGTAATTTCAGTGTGTACCCATGTTTTTCCCTCCACAACAGTCCATTAAACTCACACACTGAAGGAGAGGGGAAATCCTCACATCCTTTAAGAGCACAGGAGATGATGTCTCTGGGGATAAAACTGATGTTTATAAGAAGATGTCTCCACGCTTTCCATTTTCTGTCCATTCTTGAACCAGACGTAGGAAGGACGATCAGGTAGACGACAGCTGCTGTGACAAAGCAGCTCTGCCTCAGTATAATTCTGGTAGACTGTTGATCTGATCACCTGAACCTGGAGATCTGGAAGAAAAACATGAATAACTGTTCTTTATTTTGTTATGACCTGGCTCAAAAGGCCACAACAAAAGGGAGACATGCCATGGTAGAAGTTTAAGAAAATATGTTTTTAAACCAAAATGAACCAAATTAAGGCTGGTGCCAAAGTAAAAGTGAACAAGTATGGGGTATGAACATCAGTGGATTCCGTCAGGTCAGGGCAGGATGATGGATGCATGGAAAATGTGTGTGAGGGTGTTGTAATGTGCAAGAAATAATAACAGCATGTCCAGAAACCAAGGCAAAGGTGGAAACTATGGAGGGAAACAGATGGTGGCAAGTTAGCAGAGCGGTCCATCCTGAGCCCAGCCAGCAACCTCTCCAAGAATGAGAATAAGGCGTTACAAATACGCCACAGAGATTGGCCACACCCACAAAGTGACGCCACAGGGCATCACTATGTGGTACTGAATCACATTCAGACAGACACAGAGATATAAACAATATCATTGTAATAACATTATGACAATAATGTAATCAATTAATCACATGTAAAATTATAGGATCACTATTCTGCACATTCACTTGTCATCAGATAGTTTAAATGTGCTGTTACAGTTTGTGTTCATCAGTACCTGTGACAGTCAGAGTTGTACCAGGTAAACTACTCCTCCATTCAAAGCTTCCTGCTGTGAATTTGAAGTGATACTCAGCTGAGTCGCTCTCTCTCAGGTCAGTGATTCTCAGAGTGGAGCGTCCTCTCTCTGTTTCAAGGACCTGAACACGACCTGCATGCTGGGAGTCTTTACTAAGGTCCTCAGGCTGTGAGGGATTCTGCCACTGAAGACTACGTTCAGGTCTGAACCAGAATTTAGATCTGATAGTGTAATAACTGTTGTAAGTACAAGAAATGTTCACTGATGAGCCTTTGACGGCACAGATGCTTCTGTCGTGTAAGTCACTCTGTTGCAGTTTGACCAGACACCTGAAAGATAAAACCATTACTGACCATTTTTAAACCAGAGCTGGCAAAGAGTCACAGTGAGGGTCTCTTTATTACAAATACATGTTCTGTAGTTATACAGCTCCACCAGATGGTGTTATATTAGTAAAAGATTGTGGAGTAAACTCACACACTGAAAGAGAGGGGAAACCCTCCAGTCCTTTCACAGCACAGGAATAACTGTCTGCAGAATCAAAGTAGTCAGAATAAGAAGAAGATGTTTCTGTCTGAATTTTCTGTCCATTCTTGTACCAGATGTAGGAAGAATGATCAGGTAGACGACAGCTGCTGTAACAAAGCAGGTCTGCCTGATTATATGTGTAGTCTGTTGATCTGATCACCTGAACCTGGAGATCTGGATCTGTGAAGAAGAAACATGAATAGTTGTTATTTATGTAGAACTGAATCACGCAGACATACACAGAGAAATAAACAATAGAACATTATGACAACACATACATTGATTTCCCATCAGGATCACTATTCAGCATTCATTGTCATCAGATAGTTTAAATGTGCTGTTACAGTTTGTGTTCATCAGTACCTGTGACAGTCAGAGTTGTACCAGGTAAACTACTCCTCCATTCAAAGCTCCATGTGTTGAATTTGAAGTGATACTCAGCTGAGTCGCTCTCTCTCAGGTCAGTGATTCTCAGAGTGGAGCGTCCTCTCTGTGTGTCAAGGACCTGAACACGACCTGCATACTGGGAGTCTTACTAAGGTCCTCAGGCTGTGAGGGATTCTGCCACTGAAGACTACGTTCAGGACTGAACCAGAATTTAGATCTGATATCTGTGTAATAACTGTTGTAAGTACAAGAAATGTCCACTGATGAGCCTTTGAAGGCACAGATGCTTCTGTCAGTGTAAGTCACTCTGTTGCAGGTTTGACCACGGACACCTGAAAGATAAAATATTTTTGGACCATTTTTAAACCAGAGCTGGTGAGGAGTCACAATGAGGGTGTCTGTATTAAAAATACATGTAGTTACAGCTCCACCAGATGGTGTTGTGTGAGTGGAAGATTGGAGTAAACTCACACACTGAAGGAGAGGGGAAACCCTCCAGTCCTTTCACAGCACAGGAATAACTGTCTGCAGGAGAAATGTCAGCTGAATAAGATGTTTCTTTGTCAATTGTCTGTCCATTCTTGTACAAGATGTAGGAGGTTTGATCAAGTAGACGACAGCTGCTGTGACACTTAACCTGTGCTTTTGAGCTGCTCCACTCCACCTGCAAACCTGTTTGTAAAGAAACAAAATATGATTTTAAACTGAACTGTAATAAGCACACCACTTGTTGAGCATTTGGAGCTAACTTCTATGGTTTCCAACAAAAATGTTACCTCTGACAGACAAAGTGACTCCAGGTGAACCAGTATATCTTCCTTTTGGTTGGTTTGTTATGAACCTGAACTTGTACTCAGCTGAGTCGCTCTCTCTCAGGTCTGTGATTCTCAGAGTGCAGATGTTGTTAGAACAACTGTACTGCAAACGACCTGCGTACCTTGAGTCTGTTCTCAGATCCACAGGTACATATCTATTCATCTGAGTAAACCAGAATGTTTCCTCAACTGTAGTATCATGGCCATTTATTCTGGATGGGTATGTGGGTGCAGCTTATTCCACTGTTGATCCTTTTAAGGCACAGATCTGAGTAGAGGTGTAAGTCACTCCCCAGCCATTCTGACCCTGAATCACTGTAACACAGAGCACATCAGAAACTACAATCAGCCTCAACAACAACTTAGCTGCTCTCATGCCATCCCACTTGCGTCAATGTGAGATAAAGATAATATCATAATATTAACTTGTGCTTGGGGGCAAGGGAACATGAAATAAAATATCTGAGTATTTTCTTAACTAGAAACATAACTCGAGACTGCAAAACGGCAGTCCAGAAACCAATAACTGACATCACAGTGACTGCCTCCGCTTCTTTTATCCAGTCTAAGACCTAAACACGTACCTTTATATTGAAAGTCTAATTTGATGTTGCATATTTATTGTTGCTAACTTGACTGTGGTGCCCTCAACGCTGAAAAACTACGCTAAAGAGGTATCCAGGGCGATGTAACGTGATTTGACTAATGGACCAGATGTGACAAGTTGGGAGTGAAAAGGTTTTGATCACGACATACTTAGTCGCGTTGTTTTTAACTCCATGAGAAAATGTTTGTGTGGCGCTCAATGTGTGAGCGCCACACAAACATATGTTCTTCATTAGAACATGATGTTCATAGACCAGAAAGCACGGAAGCATGGATTGTGCTTCAGGGCGGGATTATCTATTATTCACAAGTTGTTACCATAGCAACCTGACTCGTTTTTTTATACTGTGACTCGTACCCACGGCACTGTGTAAATTTAACCAGTGCCGTTGAAAAAGCGTATTAGGAGTTGACTGTTCACTTTCTCTGGTGAGTACATTTAGTTTTAAGACTGTCGTTCGTTAGATAAAATTGTCAGCCCTGTTAAAATGACAGTTAACGTGAATTACAGATGCACCTAGCTAAGCAAGCTAGGTAGCTCCACACACGACTGTTAGCTCCACCGTCTTGTCCAAATATAGTCACGTCCGGTGCCGCTGGTTGCAAAACCTCAACATGGTGGCGACCTATCGGCCAAATTGAGGCCAAACGGCAGTCCACAAATCAACGGGTGACTTCCACATAAAAAGAGTCTATAAATACGGTGGTGATGGCACAATGGATAAGACTATGCCTTTGGTGTGAGAGACCTGAGTTCAATCCCCCCTGTGACCCATCCACCATTGTGTCCCTGAGCAACACACTTAACCCCTAGTTGCTCCAAAGGCGTCTCTGACGTGTATAGCAATTGTAAGTCGCTTTGGATGAAAAGCATCAGCTAAACAAATAAATGTAAACACATACAAGAATTCCTTTCTTCCCGGGTGTCCCAGAGAACAGGCTGAACCTATTTGTTCCAAACACATTTTCTATTGTTGTTGGGACTCTGGGGCGCCGTTGGTCTCAAGACCTGTGGCTCACAATTTGACTCCCGTACCTGAGGTTGCCAGTTTGAGTCAGGACTGTGCAGTACAACTCAGGGCAGTTACATTAACTAACAGTTGCTTATTTACATGTCAAGCTGCCCAAGAATAATATTAGCATTAATTTTCAGCCGTGTTTCTGGCCATGTGATGAATGTGAGTTAAATATACACTCTGGTTTTAGCTTTGGTTTGGTGTCCATCAACTACTGAGACAAATATTCCTCTTTAGCAGCTAGATGCTCCACCACACTCGCTAACTATGTAATTTAGTAATAGGCTGGTAGAGTAAAGTGGGGTTTTAGAGCTTTTTCACTGCATTCAGCTGCATTCTGCTGCTGCTAACAAGGCTGATGAGAGCCAGGAAAGTGAAACAAAACAGTAACGTTGCCAAAAAACGCTTTGTAGAGCTGAAGGGAATAGCACATTTTGTGATAAATCTGTGTCTTCAGTTGACCATTGTTAATATAAAACTATTGATAAGTGCAACATTAAGTTTTGTTATCCACATTTCAACTCCTACGGTAAGTGTTATTGTCATGTTGTATTTATCAATTATGCTATATTATGCTAATAACTTCTAAATGTACTCTTATGCATATAATCGCTGGAAAAATTAGAGTTTGGAGGACTGCAGACGATTCATTTTTTTCATGTCCTTGGGCAAGATACTGAACCCCGCTGTTCCGCCAGTGTATGACTGAGTGTGACTGGTGAATGCAGATGTAGTGTAAAAGCGCTTTGAGTGGTCGAAAAGACTAGAAAGGTGCTATACAAATATGGAGCATTTACATAAATGATTTAGAGGACATTTTTGATGCAGTCATCACTTCAATCCACACAAATACTTAAGTTTAAATGTTTACATTGTTACGATAAGATAAGCGTATGTACAGAGATGTTACTGGTGTAAAAAACAGCTCTCTGTTGCTCGTCTTTTAAGGACTTTAAAGAAAGAGTGAATTGAAGTGAAGTGAATGTCAGGCGTGCAGGGACCACATGACATCTCACATCAAATCTTTTTATTTACTCAAATCTCTCCTCTGATATTCTGAAGTGTGCGACCTGCCTCGCAATATAAGTGTAGATGTCCAGTACCTTGTACAGAGAGAAGGAAGACAACAAATCCACTCGCTGCTGCTGTTAAACTCATAGCTGCTCCTCAAATCTGTTAAATCTCATCAGCAGTAGATCAGATACAAGAGAAATCCTGTATGTCAGTTAGTCACAATAAACATTTCTTATCAAAAATGGAGGGTGCTGTCTTTGAAGACAGTTTGTTTGGTGTTAAAAACCGCACTGTTTTCCTTCCTCTTTACATCATTAATATGCATGAACAGACAAATGCCTGAAAATATGAAATGATGAAATGACTTTGACAAATGATGCAAGAAATTCTTACAACATAGGTTATGGTATTATTGGTATGTTAATTTTGTGGCCCGGTAGTGTCGACACTTTTCTTGAACAGTTTAAGGGGGAAAAACAATAAAACATGTTGCCCGGCCTTTGTGTGTGGAGTTTGCATGTTCTCCCTGTGTCTGCGTGGGTTCTCTCCGGGTACTCTGGCTTCCTCCCACCATCCAAAGACATGCAGTCTAGGTTAATTGGCAACCCTAAATTGTCCTTAGGTGTGAGTGTGGGCATGAGTGGTTGTTCGTCTATGTGTGGCCCTGCGATGGACTGGTGACCTGTCCAGGGTGTACCCCGCCTTTGCGCCCGATGTCAGCTGGGATTGGCTCCAGCCCCCCCGCGACCCTGTACACAGGATAAGCGATGGATGGATGAGGTCCAATCTCTTTACAGCCCCAGTCCATGCAGTGGAATGACAGGCCTTTGGTGTAAACTAAAAGTGAAAGTGTTTTACGCTTTCTTTTCCACAGTTATGAGAGTCAAGTTGTACTTACCTGGTTGGGTTTAATGTTGTGAAAAGAGCGTACAATAATGCTCTAGATATGTTAAGAGGAAAAGTTTTGTTCAGTGTTGAGAGCAGATGTTAGATTAGGAGTGGTTTGAGTCTAGCACGTCACAGCTTCCTGTTTGAGCTTCTTGAGAAGCTGTGGGTTTAATTCAAGGAAAAACAGAAGTAGGAAGTGCACTTGATAATACTAACTATAGACTAGGATGTTGTATGCTGTAGGCTACATATTGCAAAGCACCTTGAGGCAAATTTGGATTTGTGATTTTGGGCTTTGTAAATAAAACTGTATTTCTATAAATAACCAAAGAAGGGTAAAATCAAGGGCAACTGGACTTGGTTGAAGATACTGGAAGACGTTTCGTCCCTCATCCAAAGGACTTCTTCAGTTCTGACTGACTGGCAGGGAAACTCAGCTATTTAACCTCAGTGGGGTCATTGGCCCGGGTCATCGATACCGCTGGTTCGTTCCCTGCCAGTCAGTCAGAACTGAAGAAGTCCTTTGGATGAGGGACGAAACGTCTTCCAGTATCCTCAACCAAGTCCAGTTGCCCTTGATTTTAACCTTCGTTGGATAACTATGACCTGGATGACCGAGAATCTTCATCTTGAATCATGAATCTTCATTCATTTCTATAAATAGTACTAGCCTACATCTTTTAGAAAGGAAAAGATCTGAATGCTGCTGTACAACTGGTTTCCTCAGTACCCTAGTTAGCAAGTCATGCTAATGTTTGCATGTCACATTATAGCCAACAACTGCACGTTTAATGAATTTATCTGTCAATGGTTAATTTATGCTTTTACTATCTTAACATGTAACAATTAAGTATGGATGAAGGTAAGAAGGATTAAGTTCTTATAGCATATTGGCTACACCATTACATTTAAGACAATGAGATAGCTATACTATTTTTTTGTTATTGTTTTATTTATTTTTAAAATGGTGGACAATGGCATGCATTTTAAGATTTGTGTGAAGGTAAAGTGAAGCTGAAGACAGGCACTGAGGAACAAAGTCTCTTATGGTGAAATCCCAAACAGTTCTGCTTTTATCAGACCATCTGAAGGGAAAACAATGATATGACCCCAGCAATAACACAGACTAATGCACAACAATATAGTGCAGGTAGACTACATTTTCAAAATGATGAATTCTTATATTATGTTATCCTCATAATATCACGACTATTAACTAGATATGGCAGAGAACACAGATATGTGGGATATACTGAGCAGAAATCCTGCTGAAACTAAGGAGCAATCGGAGTTTATAAATGAACTAAAATTATTTCATGCATCATTGATCTGAAAAGGTGCCACGTGCACATTTAAAGAGGTTACTTCCCTAAATAAAAGACAGAAAACAAGAGAGATGTGTCTTGAGCAGGGATGAAATGAAATGAGTTAATCTGCAGGAGAATATGCAGTACCTGAAAGCAATACAGAATGCCTGAAAGCCTTAAGACTTTATATTAAATTTTCATATTTTCAATTGTCACCTGCCACCTGAATTTTTTGTTCCCCTTTGCATAATTAAATATGTTGCCACCATCAACTGATGCAGAAAAGGCATAAATTGGTGCAGAAGATTACACCAGATTGCAGGAAATGAAGTGTTTAATGCTCAAACTTTATATGTGTTCCCTCTAATGTTAAAGCAAAACCTAC